GTTGACCCTTTTCCCTTCATCAACTACGTCGGCTAGGTCCTGTAGAAGTAAGACTAGCTGACTTTCGCATGAGAAACAATTTCCGAAACCGTGCTGACACTGATAAATCCACTCCCTGCCCTCCCATTCCTTCCTCATATAGCTTGAAATTAGATGTTCCATAAGTTTGCATATGACTGGTGTAAGGCTTACCGGCCTATATTTACTAATTTTATTAACTATGTTTATTGATACATTAAATAACCTAGTTAAATATGGTAGAATATCCTCTCCACTTAATTTAATGATGTCCCTGGAAATAGAATTTGGACCTCGTGATTTTACTCTCTCTATTAATTTTATATTTTCCACATTTCTGCATACCGTATGCAGAAATGCACCGTATGCGCTACGCGCGCTGGCACTGGCCTCTGCGACGATGCCGCTTGCTTCCCCAGTTTCTCCGATGCCTTCCCGCGTCCTCTTGCGGTCTTCATCTCCCGGATCCGTCCTCTTCTGCCTACTACGCCCGCGTGCGAGTTTCGTTCGCACCTCACAGGATAACTCGTGCGAATTCCGTTCGTGCAGGTCTTTCGCTCACTGTTGACTGCAATGTACTAGATATCAGCGCGCACTACTTTTCTAATAACGGGTAAATTCACTCCCCGCGTCGTTGCCCGTAGAAGTACTTTCTTCCGGAAAACTATGAAATTTCGCGGACGGCTGACTGTGCGTCTATTCAACGTCCTACACTCCTACCTAATAGACGTAGTCGTTGCTTCGGCGGACAATATCTAAGGCGAAGTGATGCTGACTTGGCGAACAGGAACGAAAAAGATCCACTACTCTCGGGTTCACGTATATACGTACGCGCCCTCCAATGGATAACATGGCATTGTTAACCAATACTGAGACTATCGTATACTAATAAAAAGGCTATGAAAATGTATGAATACTCGAATCCAATTACGAGTATTATGGGCCACGTTCTGGGTCAATACTGAAACATTTGTACATATTCAGTGCCTAGTACACATTAAGTTCAAAAAATTCGTGCTTACTGTTTAAATGAAACGCGACTTAAAATTAAGCAAAACAGATTAAATGAAATATATTTTTCATTTTATTTACTAATACCGACAAACAAATTTGAAAACTAAATTTATATTCAAAAGTAAACAGCATTTGACTCCATTTTAAAATAGAATTTACGTTACGAAGCCCTTTTACCAAAAACTATTTCAGAAAAAAGTTTTCACATTGCTCTCATTGTTTCGGGATGAAACTAACATACGTGCACTAATAGCGCGATGACGACGGGCTCCCTGAATCCAAAACTATGTTAATCCTGGATGAATAGAAGCGTCGTAAAGTGAATTTGGAAAAATACCTCACCCCACTCCCCCTTCCACTCCATTGCGGTTCTCCGACGCGGCCGGCGTCCTGCGGCGCGAGAGGCGGCAAAACTTTCGTACAGGCAACCCAGTCAGGCGGTTTATGCTTTCGTCACTTTGCATCTGAATATATATTTTCCTTCACATATCAAACTAGTGATGCTGTAACAGAGGCAAACGGTCTAATATCATCTGTAATAGTAATATAAAACTATCTTGTTCAGATATTTCCTTCTTCCTTCGAATACCAGTCGTAAAAGTGTTTGGAGCATTACTCAAAATATCGATACCAATTTGGAAACTGATTTCAAAAATTAATTGTATAAATTTTACCAATGTTCTCCTTACATTTTATTTTAGATATAGACCTACTTTACATCTAATATCTTCCATTATTTCACAACCGGAAAGAATAAGAAAAGATTACGCACGAGCTCTTTTATCCTACGACTCCATTTTTTTCTCTCAATATGGCGTTTGTCTCCATGATAATATTCACATGGTGAATCTGTTTCCCAAGAAAAATAGCCGAAGCTAATTCCAACTATAGTGGTGCTTCAGAATGGTACAGACTTACCCATATTAGTTTTCTATTTCCTGTCGTCTCCTCTAGCTATTCGAACTTGCCACAAACGCTTGCCAAATGGCCTATGCTAATCTATGGCGCTTGCCTAATCTATGGCCGCCCGAAATACATTTTCTGAAAGTTTCTCAATTTTTCGGTTTTTAATAATAGAACTGAAATATTGTTTTGAGAATGTTAAAGAAATGTGCATAGCAATGGCGTGAGAAATCTTTCAAAAAACTACATTTGTGTAATTTATGAAAAAATAGATGAATACTCCCAAATCACCATTATGTCGTATTAAAGGGTGCAATTGGTACTATCCGTTCGGAAAGTCACGTGAAGAAAAAATTTGAGCCCTTTTTGAGAAAAAGACGTTTGAGCATTTCTGAAAACGTAGAAATTTGAGCTAGTTTTCACAGAAAACAACTGAGTTTTCAAGAAACTTTTTAGAATATTTAAAGCAGATGTACTCATAAATATATTTATGTGAACAAATCGCCGCTAATGTAAACATTAACACGTTTTTACAAAAACATTAAGAGAGACGAGTCACAAAAGTAACGTTTTTGTAATTTTTGAAAAAACAAAAGAATATAGCTACATGGCGTTTATGCCATCTTTTCGAGTATAGAGAGAGAGAGGGGGAGAGAGAGGGAGAGAGAGGGAGAGAGAGGGAGAGGGAGAGAGAGCTTGCCTGCCCGGCTTGCCTGCCCGGCTTGCCTGCCCGGCTTGCCTGCCCGACTTGCCTGCCCGAAACTTCGGCCTCCCTCAGCGCCGCCGGCCGCTGGCCGTGACGAGGAATCGCATCGGACGGGTGACGCCCCGGAGTGGAAGAGGGAGTGGGGCGAGGTGTTTTTCCAAATTTCACTTTACGACGCTCCTATTCATTCGATTTGCATTATTGACACGGCGTTGGATTCAGGAAGCGTCGCCATCGCGCTATAAGCTTTATTTTTTTCTCGGAAGTTTGAGAACTAATTTCAAATTCGAATTTTTGCTAGATTTTTGGAAAAAGTAGCGTAAATTCTATTTTAAAAATGCGTCAAATGCCGTTTACAGATTGAAAATCGGACTATTGGTTCAGACGTTATCAGTAAAGTAAATTCCCCTGAGATAGTGCTGCGATCTATTGAATATTTCCTACAAGTATTTTTCGGTGCATTTAGCCTTAAGCGATTGAGTAAATCCAGGTAAACGTGGATCAGGATGGCGGCTTCATGCCAAGACATAATGCTCACCCAAGAACACAAGAAAAGTTAGCTATTTCAATGCACACAAAATACAAAGAAGAAGCGGGAACATTATGAATTTAATATTATGTCTTAACAAATGGCGAAAGTGTAAGAAATGATGAACTGAAACAGAAAGATTGCAAATTAGTAAAGCACATCTAGACAAAATTAAATAATAGTATTAAATTAAAGGAAAGAAAAAGTTAAATAACCCAGAATGAATTAAAAGTAAGAGAGAAAGGAAACAAAAGAGCGAGGGATTGAGAGATCCAGAGAGAGAGAGAGAGAGAGAGAGAGAGAGAGAAAGAAAGAAAGAAAGAAAGAAAGAAAGAACGAAAGAAAGGAAATATAAGAAAGGATAGAGGATGAGATGGAAGTATTTATTTGAAAAATTGAGTAGAACGGTGTCCGATAGGTAGGATTCAAAAATGTGATGACAACAAACTGAGCCCTGGGCAACGCCGCGTGCTTATGGCAATGTACACAACACACTGTCAACGCACACAACTTTTTTTGCCGCTTAAATAGATAGCTGGAGAACCATTTGAGTGTGAATGTGGTACATCCAAGGTTTTTTAACTTTGCTTACAAAATATCGTGGTTAGCAGAATCGAATGCCTTGCTAAAATCGAGAAGTTGTGATTTTACCGTTGTTCATTGCGTTTCTGTTGTCTTCAATTACACTATATATCTGTGTGTGTGTGTGTGTAACTAATTTTCTTATTTCAAAATTGTGAAAACATATTGGGCAAACGTTTATATTTCACTTAGTATTTTTGCTATGTACGACTTTTTGACGAGGTCTTGTCATCTTCGAGTACAGATATTTCTAAAATTCCACAATTACAAATTACTTAGTGTACATTTCTTTAAAAAAACCTTTAGTCTTAATGCTAATGTATAAGTATTTGTAATTGTGGTAATTTAGAAAAATCTGTACTTGGAGATGACGACCAAAACTCGACGAAACATTGTACATGACAAAAGTACGAAGTGAAATATATGTGTAATATTTCTCTGTTTTGAAATAAGAATATAACTGCCTATAAATAATAGGGATCGGTTCTTTTGTTCAGTTCCCTTATCTGTAGATTGAATCTTTTCTATGGGATATATGTCAGGGCTATTTGCAGTTCACTAAATCGTAGACTGATCAATGCCGTATATAGTATTTTCCAACATCCTTTCCTGCTGTAGCATGGAGCGCAGTCCAGAGAGTAATATAATATAAATATCATAAGAGAGTAATATATAGTATATATCGCCAGAGGGTAGTCAAACTTGCATATGAATGGATATTTTCCAAACCCTCATTTATTTCAGTGGATCATTGGTTCATGCCTCGTAATATATTGGCCATGCCTCATAATATCAAAAATTGAATGCATTGCCAGGACCATTAACAGGCGTTACACTTCAAACAAGTAACTTTTTCAGGTGCTGCCCGGGACACGTCCGTTAAGTCAAGGAAAAAATATTTTCTTGAATAATTTGGCCACCTTTGTGGGTCTTCAAATTGGTTAGTTCAAGTTAAGTTAGTTTTTTGTATTCAAGAAATCCAACAGATCGAGGTTTGTGTTTAACGAAAATATGAAACTATAAATATTGTTGGACTCGTACATTTACGATTTTAGGAAGTACATTCAAATGTTCCGCCATAAACACGCTTATGACAAAGAAGCACAGTAGAGTCCTGCCATTAGTTACGCAGGGACGAATGACAATACGATAACGGAATTTGTCACTTAATCGAATTGTGAGCAATAAAAGTAATAATTGAAACGATTGACTGGTCAAAATTGATTTTGCATTTTATGAGCGATGTCGTTTAGGAAGCGGAAGTTACCACAAAGCAACCTCCGTTAGATGCAGCTCTGCCAAGATGTCCATAATAAATGTAATACAGTTTGTCTACACCGCTTATCTTGGTGGAAATGCTAAGTTTTTTTGGCTGTTATAATATTTTAAGGAATTAATTCTCCATATTTTATTATTAAGTATGTTTATAAACATTATGTTGATCTTTTAAAACGTTAAATTCAAATTTTCATTCATATTATAGTTTACCGTTTTCATTTCGAAACATACCTTTAAGACAATGGAAATATAAATTTCATTAAGAATTTATTAAAAATACTTTCAAATATATTTTTATGGTATGTGTTCATCATCTTGCGAGAAGATTAATGAACTAATACGTCCAATGCCTTCGTCTTGAGAAGTGCAGAAGTTGGTATGAACTAGAAACGGCTTGCCGGCTCATCCATTTTGATTTTGCTTTCGGTTAATGGTGTAACTGAAGAGGAAAGCTCGACGTATTTGCTGTAGTTCTGGTGCTAGTGGTATTTTCTGAAGTGAGTGTATGAAACGGTGACCTATATTTGTAGTTGTACGCAAGTAATAAAATATTTAGTTGTAAGAATAATTTATATTTCCATTTATTCTTGAATGTTATATATTCTGGGCCTTTTAATGGTTTTGCTTTTATATTTACCTTTTCTAGTTTATTTACAGTCTGTAGAGGAATTGTAATATGTGCTAGTTACACTAGTGGCGAGTCAAAACAAATTGTATTCGTTATCGAGGACAATTTTGTCCCTTCACTTTTATCGTCAGTCATTTTTAACCACATATATCCCGATTCTGCGCAGATTTTGAAATGGAAGATCCGGCGCCACAACGCGGTGGTTTTAGTCGTGGAGGGCGAGGAAGAGGTGGACCTGGAGGACGCGGAGGCCCGCCCAGAGGAAGAGGAATGGGAGACGGTATGAGAGGCCGGTAAGTTTTAAACGTCAAAACAGTCGACGATTAGTAGCGAGTTCCAAAATCAATATTTAAAACTTATAGTAGAAAGTAGTGTTTCTTGTCAAGTAAAATCCTATTGATATTGCTAATGATTGAACGAAGTACTAAAAGGTTGTCTCATGTATAATAACCAAACTTTCTACATGCTTATTTAATTCCCAATGTTTCCAAACGAGGGAATACAATTATCATTTGCTGAACCCTTGTGATTACATCACACAAAAGGCAGAACTGTAAGAAAGTTGTCCACTACATGAAAAATTGAAAACCTCAAAATATTGTACATGTTGCTTAGTAGTGAAGGCTAATGAAATTAGGGTGGTTCTGGAACAATACAATCTTTATGGACTGAATACAGATTTAAACCTGTTTCTGAAAACATAATTCTCAGTGTGTATATAAATGTTTTATATTTATTAAGGTTCATATGTTGTATTGGGAACTATAGCAAGAAATTGTGCTATCTTGTCTTCATTTAAAAACTGAACGCACCTATTATAATTATAATTACACAAGTCTTTGTAAAAGGACACAAGTGTCAAATGGTTACTGGTCGTTACATTGTGAAATCACTAATCACTGCAAACGCAAAATTTTGATCTTAAATTACGTAATTTTTCTGACTATAACCTCGCACTCACATGCTTGAACTCACCAGACCAGATGTTGATAACAAAGAGTTTAGGCCCACGTGGGAGTTGATGAAATTGTGAAGGGAGTCAACAATATGAACCAGTGCTAGATCAGTATAATCAAGATCCCATAGATTAGAAAAAACAAAAACATTAATGAACTAAATTGATTTCTGATATAAAGCAACAAAACGTGTAAAAAACTACAAAGTTGCTCATGTGCCTTAACCATTATTCATTCTTATCATTACGCTGATACAAGTTATGATGTTCAGAAAACTCAAAGAACTGCATTTACAATTCTGTGTTGTGAAGAAAATACTCAATAGCAATACTAACTGGAGAAGTGTTGAGGCCAGTTCTTAAGCTGCTCAACATGTAAGCAAAGCATTGCATTACAGTGATTAGAAACTGCTTCTAAAGTGGTGTCATCAAATATTGAAAATAGAGGTATTTATGAGAATATTGGTATTGCCCATTGTTAGCTAGTAATTTTCAATTTATCATTATGGTTGCTATATATTAAGCAGAAAGTGCAAGGGGGTTGATAATGATAACCGTTCTTTTACCAGAAGTTGATGAAAGCAAAGGTTGCAAATGCTTGCACTACTCCAAGACCCTGTTCTAACATATTGAAGAGAAAGAACATAGGGATAGTAAAATGATTTTTATATTTTAAATTGCCACTTTCATAAGGGTAGTTCTTTCAGAAGAGATATTTGGAAGACATTTTTTGGCTATGCTTTTGAAATACATTCCAGACCGAGGCTTGGTTAAAAGATTTTGCTGTTTAAATTCCTGAAATTTTTCAGTGATCAAAAATTGACACATGCTTGTTGGGTTTCTCATGAGCAGAATCGGTCTTATCCAAAAGTCTTCCTTTGGCAATATCAAATTAGATTAGGAAATAGCAGAGTTCTAACAAGTTTTGTCCTAGAGATAACAGTAAAGCATTTGGTGTGATAAAAATGTTAGTTTTCTTGAACTGCTGACATGTTCGGTTTAGAACTCTCCTGAAATGGCAATAATGTGCCATACAACCAAAATTGATCTACGGGCCTCAATTGCTGTTGCAAGATAATGTGTACGCATATGCTGCTAACATTAGAAACGCAGAGATCCAGGATCTTGAATGTGCGGGGATGCACATTTCCCATATTCTTCTAATGTCATACTTTGGTGGTTTCTTTTCCTTTCTGTATTTTAAAAAGGAATTGCTTCACTGTGTGTGTGTTTTATCATAGGTATTGGAGAATACATTTATTACAGATTGATTTTTAAATGCTATTCATATTAAATACGACTATCATACCATAAAACATCATGAATTCATAGATATTCATCCAATCGGCATTGTCATTGTAGCAACATATAAGTTGAGGATTGGTTGAAACCACAACAGCTGATTTACATCAAGTGTGTGACTAAATAGATTGTAATGTAGGTGAAGGATGGCTTTACTGAAAACAACGTGTCATTAAGAAATACATACAAAATATGTTCAGAAGCATGTTATAAAGTAATTGTTTTGGCATTGAGTTTTTCAGGAAGGTTTTTAGTGTCCTATTTCTCCTATATTTGAGCTGTATTTACTATTTGTAGCTCTTTAATAATTTTTTTCCCATGTTCTTGCTTTCTGAAATCCAGGGGAGGCCGTGGAGGAATGATGCGAGGTGGCCCTCAGGGGCGTGGTGGCAGAGGAGGACCTCCCCGTGGAGGGGGCATGAGCAGGGGTGGAGACAGAGGTGGCTTTGGTGGACCAGGAGGCAGATTTGAAAGGTATAGCATTTTCTAATCTCGCTCTTTTGATGAAATCTATTAGTAAAAGGAATTACTTTGGTGCTGTTGGGTACAATAAGCTTGAACTCAAGTTGTGTTGACTAATTTTGGGTCTTCAGCGTATCAGAAAAGTCTTTGAATAAAGTTTGGCAGAGAGAAATTCATCATATACTTTAGTTTGAGGGCACAGTGTTTGGGGTCAAAATGCTATGTGTGTGTGTTTCTTTTTGGGGGGTGGGTGGGGGGTCTTTTATTCCTGAAACGTGGAACAAACAGCTATTTAGTTTTTGTGCATATCAGGCATTTAAATGCCTGCACAAGGAGATTTAAATATGGTGTGTACAGTGTCCCCTCAACTGTCATATATTTTTTGGGTGGTTCTGGAGAACATTTCTTTGTGGTTATATTTAGTTTCATTTTTGGTAGACTATAAACACAATGCTCTGAACAAAAGATGTGATTTAGCGGAAACATGTTTTGTGACATACTGGCCTGGGATGTATTAGGTATGTTTTAAACTGCATTCGTTTAGTTTTTCTTACAAGTGTTTTGTATTATACCTAGTTGTACATTTATTATATCTTATTTTCTTTTGTATTATACTCTTTTCTCCTAAAGTATTAAATGTAGAAAGCTGAATTTTTTATCAGTTGTAGTGACTACTGTTATGTACTTAGAAATTTTTAAATGAGATGGCAAATTCAAAAAGTCAGGGAGTGTAAAATATAAAATATTAAAAAAAAAACTATATATAAACTTCAAGTTTATGAGCTGCTTTTAAGATAATTAATCGTTCAAATTGAATGGTTATAAAATTTTAACCTCATATATGTATTAAGGAATAAGTTTTAAAACAATCAATAATTGTATTAATATTTTTATTTAAATGTTTACCTGAGTGTAGTTGGAACATTTCATTTTTCAGTTTACTGGTCCATGTGAAATAATTATTTAAATAAATTTTTTAAGAAATAATTTGGCAATGTGCTGTTCGTATCGGGTAACTCCCAGGAATATAATATACAAAAATGCTTGTTGATTTTTTATTAGATTGTAAGATATAAACTTTAATTTGCATAGAAATAAATATCCAAAAGCCCTCTGAACTGGTGCAGGTGCCCTTAAACATAGGCTGATGGCATTTAATCAGCTATCATGGTGTCATCCAATCGAGCATCACAATACTTCAATTTATTTATTACAGAACTTTGTTGTTTTACACTATCAATCCTACGGACATACATGATGTCATCTTGATTTTACTGCTGTCTCCTATGGATGTATGTCGTATGTTCTTCTACATTTATCATATGACAGTTTCGGATGTTCATAGTCACTGAGATTATGCTTTCTTAATGTTAAGATGGTTGCAGGACAAATGACAATGTATGCTTCTATTTTCTGCAAGTATTTGGAATATTTCCAGTAAGTGATACTTGCAGGATTTGTAGCTTAGGTTCAAAAGGTCTTTGTAAGTAGTGTTCGTGCTGTCAGCAACATATGTATTGGGATATATGTTTACAAGACATAGATGTATAATTCATGGGGACTTTAAACATTAGAAGTTCAAGAGTTTTTGAATAATGGAACGAAGCTGGTCTCTTCTGATAAGAATGTCAATTTTATTCCTGGACTGTTGTCTAGTTTGAGCAATGAAAAAATTACATTGAGGAGAGTAATAATGATGTGAATGATTGTACTGGTGAGCCTTCTCAAATCTGAGTTTTCATTTCCTCTAGAATGATATGTAATTAATAAATAGTCTGAATTACCTGTTTTTGAGAAAACCAGTGAAACAAAATTTTCTGTAAACGAGGACTCAACTGAACTAGACTCTTTTTATCTTTTTTCTACCACAGGCAGAAATAGTTATTCAGATGAAACTATATCTGAACTTGAATGATAGAAAATTGTTGTGCACCAGTAATGTTGACACACGAATTTCACTGTTTCCTCTCATATTTTGTAATGTTACTTTTTACCATCTTATCTAAGGAACATAAAATAATGCAGTATTGACTTAGCTCCAAGTCGTAAGATTTTATCAATTTCCAACAGATGTGTAAGTTTTTTTTTTTAAACAAAATTTTGAATAACACCCATATTGTCCAGGGCACATGAGTTGTCCATGTGGCTTTTCCTTCAGGATGATGTGTAACACCTGTTAGTTTCATCTAATCAGGTGCTTGAACATCATCATAGTGACATTCAAACTCCCGATTGGATGACACCATAACTGCTGATTAAACATGAAGTCTATGTTGAAATCAAAGTTTAATTGTACATTGAAAATAAATAGTCAAATTGTATATTTTAATTTTCCCTTGAAAATTCAGTATTTTGTAGTTAAATAATGTGATGGTGACTGTTTAAATCTGATATTCTGAGTCAGTGTTAACTTGATTAACCAAGTATGACAAACTGATGGTTTAAGTTGCTGGTATTTCTGGACATTAATATTTTACATTGTTGAAGGGGAATGCAATCCTTAAAGTGCGAAAATGTTCAGTTTTTTTTATCAGTCATTTGATTTAAAGATTGGTGTAATAGAACTTCTTATCCATATTTTTGAAAGTACTCCATTCTCTAATGGTTTAATGAAGAATTGGTACTATGTGTTTGCATTCCTTTTATTTATTCCGTCTGTATTTTATTGGGGCCTGGGGCTGTCCTTTCCTAAAGTTTCTTATTCATTGAATACATCCATTTGAGATATTTGAACATTTCTGATGTTTATTGTTGAATTTACAAAATTTTAAATTTCATGATCAATTTTTTCTATACTATAAACAGATTTGAAATCGGCAAATAAGTTTACTATTTCGTTTCCAGTTTTAGCCTTAATTTCATTAGAAAATTTGACCAACTATTTGTTCCTCTCAGAGTTTGTTAATTGTCAAAAAAAAAATTCTTACAAAGTTTCCGAATTTTTGAGAAATTTAAATAATCATAATTATCAGTAAAGCAGAATATAAATTTTGTATGTGGTAATGACTTATCTTTAAGTAATTTTTTTAATTCAGTAGAATAAGACGGTTATATAGGAGGATATTTTATAAATTTGGGATCATATTACGCCATTACATCGAAATTGCTCCAAAGAAATAAGTGATGCATTTAAGGGAATTTTCCATAAAAAATGGTAGCCAATTGAATGAAATTAGGGCATTTCTTAAGTCGTAATGTGCTTGATCGTAACTAGTATCAATAATATTCAATGACGATAATTTTCCATATGAAAAATCAATATCAAGTGCAGGGTGGTACATATCACTGACTACCAATGGGTAGTCAGATTTGCATATGTTACAATTTCGGTCTTTACAAAAATTAAATCTGAAAATTTTACCAGATGCATAGACAATGTTGTTGTTGTTATTATTATTATTATTAATTTATTAATGGTGGCAGCAACAAGCTGTTGTACACATCATTACATCGGTGTAAAATGAAGTTATATAATAAATAATTTTCGTAGAGTAATACGTTTTTAATTAGAACACAATTAAAAATCACAGATAATAACACTTGTGGAGATATATACATATACATGCAGAGAGTATATTACAGAGTCGGCACTCAATGTTATTCTGAAGCTCCTTATTTTCATGGGAGGGAGAAGCGATCGACTTCCCACTCCGACGGAACAGTATCAGAAAGAAAGTTATCCATTATGCCCTCGCCAGCCAATAAGCGTGCGAAGCGATCTACCAATTGAAATGGAGGCAACGTTACCCGGGCCATTTGAAAATTTCTTTATCTACCAATTTTCCAATATGCAGGTAATTAAAGAACAATTTGATTTTACGTTGAAATGTATGCAATGAAGATAATGTAGAGTCGGTTAAGTCTGAAAGGATTTTAATTGTGAGGTATGTTGTAAATAAATTGTAATGATGCAAAGTGAAAATATTCATATAAATAATTTTTATTTGCAAAATACATAATACAATCGTACAAAAAAACAATATAGCATGAGACAAATCATGTTATTGAAAAAATAAAATAAATTCTGGTGATATCATCATGTGCCACACTAATATTACACAATTTTCACTGCAGCTAACAATACAAAATTATAACCAAATGTACATACAATACCTACTTAAAATTTATATCATAATATAATTTTCACCCTTCCCGCACCTTCTTGGATGCAAATGGTATGGCTGACAATTATAGTATATTAAGGAGCGATAATCCCACAGAAAAGTGTTCAAAGTATTAGTGTTCTCGGTGCCTTAGGTGGTCACATAATCTGGCGTAAACATAGGCCGTTCGAGAATCCTGGCCAGGGCAACATTCTTTTTGAAAAAATGTTAAAGTTATTAAGATATAGTCATTCATAAAAGAATCTTTAAATCGTCATTAGCAGTGTGAAGAAATATGTTTAGAAAGAGAGTAATTTCCTAGTAACCATCCCAAACTATTGTACCAAAAGCTATGTATATAGTTCACAGACGTTAGGAGGACTTTTTATACGAGAAACAAACACCTTTAAATTTGGTACATTTATGTGTTACAAGTGAAACTTTCAACTATGTTTGTGTCTTGTATAAAAAGTCTTCCTAACTGTTTGTCTTGTGAATTTATATTTACATGGCCAAGGGCAGATTTCTTACTATTCTTTTGATCAGGAAAATATTTGAGTCCTGCGGCTTTGGATATCAGGAAAAAATATCCATCTATGTGTTAGAAGAGGATTTTTATGCCCTATTGTGGGAAAGATATCGAGTAGATTTACAGAATCTACTTCAAATCGATTTATCCCAAAATACTTATTAGAACTTCGTTAAATTTTGCTTTCTGACAAAATTTTAATTGCCCAAAACCACAAGTAAGTTGCGCAATTTACACACAATATCACATTCATACACTCAGATTACATAGATTCTATAGATATTCCAATTGATTTTAATTTTTACAGAAATGATTTTATTATGTCGTTCAGTCATGACATTTTTTTTAACACTGATGCCAAATTAAATTTAGGACATTACATGGTGATTAACATATAGGTGTTTTGTGTGTTATCGTTGGCCTTTTTCATGAAATAATTATAAACGTCATTGCACAATAGTATTTAATAGCCACGTAGCGAGTGTGTGGCTTATCAGTTCAGCAGACAAACTGATATGATGCATAAGCCATTCGAAAGCTTCTTTTATATTAAATACTATTGTGGCCAATGACAACTTTATAATTATTATCATGGTGATTAACATATACAAATAATTATCACTTTCTCAAACACTGGAACTAAGGTTTTGTGCCATGATACTCCCAAATATTATTGTCATTCCGCCAATGGAGCATGTTCACATAGAATGTATTTTAAATAGATAAAATGCAAGAAAAGCTGCACTATAACTTCCTTTTCAAACATTTATATGGCATCACTTTGTGACAATTTAGTCTGTTGCAGGTTTAATAAGAAAACATATGAAAGAAAACAACACAAAGATGCCAATTATTCCAAACTTTTACACAAATATGTATCAATTTCTATAAAATCTTCTTAATAATAGACTACGGAACAAGTGTAAATCACTCTTCTAAGAAAACATTCCCTAACTCCAACATATTGCACTAACTACATTTGACCACCCTGTTTGACAACGCCTGTTTGTTTGGGTGAAAGAATACATTTCACAGTAATATTAAGTAACTATTAAAACCTGTCAAAAAAAATCTCAACTTTTTGAACAGACATCAATTGGTCTTAATGGACCCACGAACAACACTACACACTATGCATATCACTGAAATCCAAAATTACCATACAAACAGTAGTAAAAGAACAACCAAAATTTGACAGTATTATACTTCGCTATCACATAGTTTAAAATAAATGCCCATCTCCAGGATGTCCATGCCACTCTTTATCCAGCAGTAGGGGAGCTGCCTGTAATACAGATAGCAGGCATTATTGAAATTCAAGATGCATAGTGCTGTTCTCACCCTGCAAAAACAAGGTTCCTGTACTCCAGATCATGCAAGGAACCGGAATGAATAGTTAGCTACAACATGTAAGGCAGGCCTGCAAATAAGAGACAAATGATTGAGCTGAACAAATTTTAAAGCTTCCTTTATTATTACATATTATGAATGCTCAATGCATGTCGCTTACACTTTCTGCCAAGCTTTCTCTAAATGCTCTGGATTCTCCATTAGGCACCTCAGGGCTTGTCAGGAAATTTTACTGAGGACTGCATTCCACACAGCTGTTTTTGCAGTCGACATTCTAGCAAGATGTGCTCTATGCACAGGTACTTCACCTGTTCATGTTCTCCGTGGACAAGACGCCAGTATTAGTCCTATTACCATCAGCCATTTCATAAACCATTAATAAAATTTGTAACATATAAATTGCCAAGTATCACAAATATCCAATTCAATGTATTTGGAAACAAAAAATAATAGGACTAAACACAAAACAATAGTACTAAACAAAAACTGAGGGGGAACAATGTTACAAAATTAATGCCATTTGTAAATAATTATCGTAATCATATGAAACCATTCTTAACAAACTTGCCAAATATTAATATCACTTACTTTGCAAGACTTGATTTTCCATGTCTACCATTCCATTAATATGGCAATTATGAAGTGAAAAACGACGACAATGCGGCATTTCCTTCAAAATTCTGGAATTTCAAAACCACAGACTGCCAAAAGTGGACTGAAGACGGTTATGACGTTATACATACACGAATTCAAATTCGGAGCCGTTGGGGGGTCAGAGCGCGGATTTTGCTCAGAGCTATCGTCAGATGGCAGCACTATTTGGAAGCGCAAGACATTCTATTTTTTTCTATAGTTGTGCAAAGTTGTATAGAGCGCATCTACAATGAGGTGCATTAATGGCGGACCTATCATAAATCATCAGCTCCCCACACCACGTCGCTGGAAATTAAGGGAAATTTCCCAGCCTAACAAGCGGACAGCCCCTGTATACGTGTGGTGGTGTGTCTCTTCTCCGTTCACTCCTCCTCTCTCTCTCTCTCTCCTCTCTCTCCTCTCGCTCTCTGGCTCCTCTCCTCTCTCCTCTCCTTCTCTTCCCTCTCTCTCGCTCCCCTCTCCTCTTCTCTCTCTCTCCCTCTCTCTCTTCTCCTCTCTCTCTCTCCTCTCTCTCTCCCTCCTCCTCCCTCCCTCTCTCCCTCTCTCTCTCTCCCTCTCTCCTCCTCTCTTCCCTTCTCTCTCTCTCTCTCCCTCTCTCTCTCTCCTCTCTCTCTCTCCTCACCTTCCCTCTCCTCTCTCCTCTTCTTCTCTCTCCTCTCTCTCTCCCTCTCTTCCTCCTCTTCTCTCCTCTCTCTCTCTCTCCACTCCTCTCTCTCTCCCCTCTCCTCCTCTCTTCTCTCTCTCTCTCTCTCTCCTCTCTCTCCTCTCTCTCTCTCTCTCTCTCTCTCTCTCTCCTCTCTCTCTCTCTCCCTCTCTCTCTCTCCTCTCTCTCTCTCTTTCCTCTCCTCTCTCCTTCTCTCTCTCTTCTCCCTCTCTCCTTCTCCTCTCTGCTCACTCTCCTCTCTCTCTCTCTCTCTCTCTCTCTCCTCATCTCCTTCTCTTCCTCTCTCTCTCTCTCTCTCTCTCTCTCTCCTCTCTCTCTCTCCCTCTCTTCTCTCTCTTCTCTCTACTCTCTCTCTCTCTGCTCTCTCCCTCTTCTCCTCTCTCCTCTTCTCTCTCTCCTCTCTTATATAGATATAGATATAAAATTTTATCATCATTCAATTGATCACAAAAAATTGACTATCCAGACAATCCTTAAAGGCGCTCAGTTTCCTTTTGTATACAAAGTGCGGGAAGTGTGTTCCATGTATTTACCACTCGGTTCACAATAAACTGGGAACGTCCTGTCCTTGTCCTCTCTTTCACCAGTTTCAACGCATGTCCTCTAAGTCTAGATTCCGTGGCTTTAATGAAAAAGTTGTTGAATTCAGGGACGTTATAAAATTCTTTCAGGATCTTAAACGTTTCTACAATATCATTTCTACTTCTTCTCTGTTCTAATGTTAGAAGAGACATTTCTCTGCATCTTCCTTCATAATCAAGTTGACGTAGTTCTCTAGGGATCTTTGTAATCTGCCTTTGTACTTTTTCAATATGTTTTTATCTTTCTGATAATAGAAGGACCAAACCACATTAGCACACTCTAGTACAGGTCTGATATATGCCGTGTAGATCAGTTTCACCATTGATTCACCAAATCAGGTGTAGTAGCTTATTGGCTTTTTTAATAACGGTAAACACTTGGTTATCCCATTTCAGATTTTGAGTGATGATAATGCCAAGATCATTTTGTTCTGTCGTAGAGTTGAGGATGTGATATCCAACAATATAATCAATATTTGGGTTATTACTTCCTAAATGAAGGACATTGCGTTTATCAGAATTCAAAGGTAATAACCAGGACTCCAAACATCTCACCACTTTGTTGAGGTCATTTTGTAACGTCTGATAGTTTATTAATGTTGTTGGTTTGAAATAAATTTACGTAATCAGTGTTTGTTAAAGTTGTAGTAGAATTTCTCTTCTGATGATGGATATAAGAAATCACAATATGTTCCAAAATCATCATTGTTCCATTTTGAGTTTGAAAAATTGATATCACCAGAGATAAAGTCTTTGAGATTTGATGACATTCAAAAATTTGTTAAAGATTTTCAGTGAATTTAATATGATTCCAATGATGAACTTGGAGGAAAACAAACAGTTCCTACAATAATTTCAATATCTACAGATTTAATTACTACAAATATTTGTTCTTGACAATTTGGTGTTTCAATTTTTGTACTAATAAAGTTACAATGGGTTGCTATTGCAACACCTCCTTTCACCCGGATGCTAGTCAATGTCGTTCTGTCTTGTTGAAAAATATGGTTTGGTAGTTTTAACTCAGTGCTGGATATATCCTCATTCAACCATGTCTGTGAAGATTTTAATGTCTATATTGTGTAATGTAGATGAACTTGATTGTTGATAGTTCAGAATGTACAGAGAAGCAAATTCAATTGACTAAGATCATGATACACCCAAAAATAACTCTACATTGAAAGTGAAAAAACACAATATTAAATTTTTTTGCTTGATTTTTATTAATAACATGTACTAAAGTAATTTCATTATTAGTCATGTTATGTACATGTTGTATGTAGAATAAAAATAAAATTGGGCAATTGCCTGTATAAGTGAATGAATTATTATATTGATCATTTCATTATTGAATAACGATTCACCAGTCTATTCGTGTGGAATTTTGAGGCACACATTAACTGCCAACACTTAAAGTATCATAAATTTCCCTCCACTTGCCATTCATTTTTACTTTCTGTATCCACTTAATTTAACTAATAAATATCATTCGTGTTTGTCTCTCAATTCTTCAAAATCTTGTATGCAGAGTATTATACAAATATAAGCTGTAGAGACATGTTTGCAATATGAGACATTAACAGAAAATATGACAGACAGGCAGTGTGTGTGTTTTTGTTTGTTTTTTTCCCCCATACTCCAAAATGTGTGCTGTCCATAATTTGTATTTTGCAGCATTATTCTATATATTCATTAGTGTTAATTGGTTTACTTCTTTTTCATAATTAATAAATTTTCAATTACAAATCATTGTCTAAATTTCAGGGGTCGTGGAATGGGAATGCGTGGTGGTCGTGGAGGTGACTTCAGTTCGCGAGGTGGTGGCAGTAGTGGTGAAGGCCGAGGTAGCTTTTCTCGCGGTAAGTAATGTTGGGATAACTCATTGCAATTTCCTGTGGAGGAATCCATTTATTTCAGATATTTGTTTTAGTAGTTTACACCTATGGTGTTCTTAGTATCCAAAAGATCAGATAAACTGTAGCTAAAATTAAAGTTAAAAACATGTTTGCAGGTCGTGGAGGAAGGGGAATGGACAGAGGTGGTCGTGGAGGAAGAGGTGGATTTGATAGAGGTGGTCGAGGTGGAATGGGACAAGGGGATCGCTATGGTCCCAGCAAACGTGGTGGCATGCCACCTCAGGGTGGTCCAATGGCAAAGCGTGGCCGCTTTGATTCAGGTCAAGGGGCCAACGGCTACCCTTCCCATCCACGGTAATGAATTTTTGGTACTAATATGGTAATATTAAATTGTTGTTACTAACCCACCAATGATTTCATTTTTAATATATGTGCATGTCGAATTTGGGGAGTGATGTTGACTAATTGTGGACGCCATTGGCTTTGCTGTTGTTTGGAATTGACAATGATTTTGTAATTTGGAGAATTTTGAATTTTTTTATGCATAACTCTTTCACTGATTGTGTTAAGAGTGGCTGAAGGCTTGTTTGAATCAATGCTGTGTGTGCTACGATTGTGTTTGTGTGTCTGAGACGGGCAGTGCTGCTGTGCTAAGGTTCAAAGGTTCTGCCGGCCGCCTGTGAGAGGGGGTCTACGTTTCTCTGCGGGGGAGGGGAGCGCGATAAGGCGATGAGCTGTAGGATTTGGTTGACTGACATCCGTGAATCATTACGTGGGCTGTAGGAAAGAAACAAGCTGGCACTCGGTCACTGCATTGGTTTCGCAAACATCAGCTCAGTTGTGATTCAGAGTGCCTAATGTTACACGCGAAATGGGCAAAACGAAATAGAATTCAACAATTCACAGTGGATCATAGCTAGTGTAATTGAGGCATGCAATAAAGAAAAGAAACAAAATCATCTGCTAGTTCCTCTGGCAAAGGCCACAGAAAGAGCAGCGGTATATACTGATGTTGGTGTAACTAGTATTAAAACAATTCAAAAAGAAAATAATATACGAAATGAAGGAAGTGCTGACAGGCGACTTATCTTACCCGGAAAGAAAAGAACAGTGTCTCATTGCAACGCCGTGAAAATAGATGAGTTTGACATGGTCGTTATCAGAAACGCCATCTTCGATTTCTATGTCCGTGAAAAGCAAGTGCCAACGCTTTCAACAATGTTGCCCATACTAAAAGAAAAGATCAATTTTCCTTGGGAACAAAAGTCACTATGGAGGTTGATGAAGAAGATGGGATTCAGATGGAAGAAATGTAATTCAAAACGTAAAGTGATGATCGAAAGAGCAGACATTGTTGATTGGAGATCAAAATATCTCGTACAAATGAGGAAGTTACAGGGAGAAGGCCGTGAAATAGTGTATATTGACGAAACATAGATTGACAACAGCTTAGTAGTTAAAATGTGCTGACAGCATGACGATATAATTGGTGTAACGGCAAACATAAGCGCATCAGTTAGACTAATTGGTAGTTCACGCTGGTGGAAACAATGGTTTCATTAATGCGCGCGAACTAATTTTCAAAGCTGGTTCTGCATCAGGCGATTACATGGACAAATGAACCAAAGAAAATTTTGAAAAGTGGGTTAGAGAAAAAGTATTAGAAAACGTGCCTTCTAATGCAGTAATTGTGCTCGAGTAATGCCCCATATCATAGTGTAGTGGCTAATATAAACCCCAACTGCATATTCAGTAAAGCGATATTTGATTCAATGGTTGAATGCAAAGGATTGCACGTTAATGAACCTGAGGGAAGCCTGAATTATATCAACTAGTTCTGCAACTAAAACCTAGAAACAACATTTACAAGATTGATGAGCTGTTTACAGTAGGCCATTCAGTCATTCGTCTCCCTCCTTACATGTGTGAACTGAATTCCATTGAAATAGCATGGCAAAAATCGAGAGACTCATAAAGGAAAGAAATGTAAATGGGGACATGTCGAGCAGCAAAATTGTTAGATCTTACAAACTGGGCTATCACACAAGTCACTACCGGAAGACTGGATGGGGTATTGCTCTCACGTCACAACAACTAGAAAATGAATACTGGGGAAGGGATGGTATAGTGCCGGACATTATAGGACAGTATTGTATAAATATGGACTCGGGATAACGAGCGTGAAGAAAGTGAAAACAGCGATAGCTCATCGCATGGATAGCGATTAGGTAAGACCAATGTTTTTAACTGAATAGTACTCTCCATCGTCCTCCCCACTCCTGCCTTCACCGTTCTTCCCGTATTCCCACTCTACCCCCTCTCCGTCGCTCACTGATTGCACAGCGTAATCGCATGACGTCACAGAGCCGGAGAACTGGAAACTCTACTGTACATGGTGGTGTTCTCATTGGGTATTTTTCCACCCCTCCCTCTCACTCTGTCCTTGCTCTCTCTCCCTCTCCTCTTCTGCTCTCTCTCCTCTCTCTCGCTCCTCTCTCCTCTCTCTCTCTCTCCCCCCTTCTTTCTCGCTCTCCCCTTCTCCTTTCTCGCCTCTCTCTTTCTTTCTCCCTTTCTCGCCTCTTGACATCACTTGACTCATCAAAACTTGAATTGAAAGCAGCAGCTCTGAGATCGACTTTTGCTGAAACAGGGCTGGTTGTTGGTTTTTTTTTTTTTTTTTTTTTTTTTTTTTTTTTTTTTTTTTTTTTTTTTTTTTTTTTTTTTTTTTTTTTTTTTTTTTTTTTTTTTGTACAAATTAATACCATTGTTCAGGGTTAAGAAAAGGCCTAACGTAGAATGGTCAACTAATAAATAGAAAGTGTGTTGAAACAATCTGATAAAAGTATATTGGAAGAGGCCTGGAAAACAGAAAAGCCTTGAATTCTAAAAATCAATATTGCTGGTCACCCTGTACTTGTACCTGCCAAAAAAAACACAGCAACTGTTTAAAAATACATTTTACAAAACTACATAATTGTTAAATAATTACAAGTATCTGTGTCTTGTGAATAAATATTCATATTTTTAAAGTTAAAAATGTTTGTGGAGTAGAGATTACGGATTTTATAACATTTAAGCTACTAATAGATAATTTAATAGAAGAATGTATACTGATTTTTCAGTGTTTCCAAGGCGTAACGCCCTTGGGCTTTTTGTTGCCACTTGATCATTAGAACCCTTATAATGCATGTAGTAATTACATGATATTTTTTAGTAATATAGATTGATTTATTTACTAATTAACAAGTTGTTAACTTGATTCTTCAATATTTTCGTACCATAATTCCCTCCATAAGAGAGAGAATATGTAGCGCCATTTAACTGTTTTCACATTTCCCTCATCACAATACTTTCAATGCAGGTAAGTTTCGCAGTGTATATCAAATTCTGTATTGAAAGCAATAACATATCTGTAAAAAATTAAAAGGATTTGGGTGATTTGCTATGAAAAGGTAAATGAATATTCTTGCAAAATGTATTACTGTTATGGCTTAATAGTTCTCTTCTATGATTTGTAGGGGAGAAGCAAGTCCATATCCAAGCCAACAATTCGCCCCAGATCATAGTGGGTCACATTATGACTCACCTGCAGCGGATTCTCATGCACCAACATATGGTGGTGCAGCCTCCTATGGAGGCGGAGCTAGCCAGCCTTACAGCAGTGGGGGTGGCAGTGGTGGTTACTCCAGTTCCGCTGGATATGAAGGTGGTGAGTATGGTGGTGGGGGATACAATGTCCCTCCCACAGACACCCGGTCAGCCTATGGAGTCCCTCCCCCACCTGTGCCTGGCAACTATGGACCAGCAGGAGATGCCTACTCATCATACAAAACAGGTAAGTGGAACACTGACATGTACTAATATTTTTACGTTTTTTGTTTGTTTGTTTGTT